TTGATGTACGTGCTGGCACAGGACAGAGCCAGGAGAGGAGGAACATCACAGAAGAAGTGGTTGATGACATTGGAGCTGCAGAAGGGCAGCCTGATGATGAAGGTCATCTGAATGATGGAGTTCAGGACACCCCCAATGTAGCACCCTACCACCAGCCCCACACATAACCTTCGAGTCATGACAGAGGAGTAGAGCAGGGGGTTGCAGATGGCCACGTACCGGTCATAGGCCATGACAGCCAGCAGGAAACACTCAGTTGTCACAAACACAATGTAGAAGAAAGCTTGACCCATACAGCCAGCAAAGGAAATGGTCTTCTTCTCCAATAGGAAGTTCACCAAAGTCCTGGGGGCTACCACAGAGGAGAAGCAGATGTCAACAATGGAGAGGCTGCCCAGGAAGAAGTACATGGATGTGTGGAGCTGTGGGTGGCCTCGGATGGCTACAATTATCCCTGTGTTGCCCAGAAGGGTGATGGTGTAGATGAGCAGCAACAGCACAAAAAGGGCTGCCTTCATCTCCACTTGGTCACTGAGACCCTTGAGGATGAACTCTGCTGCTGAGGTGTGATTCTGCTCTGCCATTCAGGGCTTTTGTATCTGCCAAAGAAGGAAAAAGTCTGGAAAATACAGGACAGTGGAAACCATGCCTTTATTTGAACTGGAATGGGATAACTTGACAATTGGCACCCTGTGCACCAAGGCTATCCCCACTATTGATTTCCAGGGAGCTACAGTGGAACAGACTGCTCTGTGGCCATCTGCTCCAAGCTTGCCCTCTTATACAGCCCAAGGAAAGAGGAGGCCCCTTCTGAAGTGAGAGCATCCCAGCCTCCCCAGACACCTTTGAGCAGGTTCATTTGTATCACTGGATCCCATTTTGGTACCTACAGTTTGATGAGACCAATGGCTACAGCAGCAGAGAGGGACTGATGTGACCCAGACCAAGCCATCAGCTCTGCCCTTGATCTCCTGTGATTAAGTTTCTCTGAAGACAGCTCTGATCTTGGCAGCAGCTTCTGGCTATAACTCATATAAGCCGAAAAATACCATAGCTTTCCTTTGGTAGTTTTGGAAAAGTCACTGAGATGAAGGAAAAAGAACTTTTAATTTGCTGGGAATTAAGGCAGGAGAAGGGAAGGGGTGCTGCATGACCCTAAAACTCATTCAGGACATGAAGAGTTTAATATGGCAGTCCTGGAAACCTTGGGGAGGTGAAGCCAGGAGACCATGAGCAAAATTTGTGTCTGGAGATGTTATTCCCTTAGTACAATAGAGAGAGGATACAATTAACAGGACTCAACACCTTGATGAGACCATTGAGCTGTGCTAAGCCAAACTCATTCAACTCTGGTTGTCTCAGTTAGACACTAAGTTAAGCTGCTCACACTCATGAAAGTGTGAATTACAGGTTTCTGTCCCTGATAACATGAAGGTTCAGAATAAAACAACTAAATCTTTACAGGATTAAAGATGAGGGTAAAAACCTTACCCCACCAGATGAGTGTCAGGACCAGAAGACGAGGTGAAGATCCATTCTCCATCAGCAGAATATTTCTTTGTAGAAATATCCTTTACATTTTAAAGTGAATATCACTATTTCAGGGTCAGTGGCTAGGTTAATATTTCCTTGAAAATTTCCTCCTCTCTTTTTCTCCAAGGCTCCTTAAACCTACCATAAGCAGAATGATATCTGACCAGTGCGGAAGGGGCTACAGGAAAGATGGAGAAGAGCTTTGGACAAGGGTCTGTAGGGACAGGCCAAGGGGAATGGCTTGAACCTGCCAGAGGAGAGACTGAGCTGAGCTCTTAGGCAGAAGCTCTTCCCTGTGAGGGTGCTGAGGTGCTGGCACAGGGTGCCCAGAGAAGCTGTGGCTGCCCCATCCCTGGCAGTGCTCAAGGCCAGGTTGGACACAGGGGCTTGGAGCAACCTGCTCTAGTGGAAAGGGTCCCTGCCTGCAGCAGGGGTTGGAGGTGGATGAGCTTTAAGCTCCCTTCCAACCCAAACCAGGCTGGGATTCTATGAATACATCCCAGCAGGAATATTTAACCTCTTTAAACCAACACAGAGAAGCAAATCTTTACCTGGCATAAATCTGAGCAGCCTCCCCAGTTGCTGCAATGATTTCTACCAGAGCAGGGCTAACTTGGAACTTTCATGGTTATGGTCTCACATACCTGTGGATGGGGGTCACCTCTTACAGCTGCAAGTTCTCTCCCACATTAGATGACACTGGATATCTGCACAGCAAATCGAGGGGATTATCTCTTGAAGGCATCCTCCCAGCTTCCAAACAAAGTGTCTCTTCCTGAACCTTTAAGAGCTTCCAGCCTATTTTCATCGGATGAAGTTCTTCACTTGCAGCAATGTGCTGCTTTTATATCTCTCCCTGAAGGTCTTTGCAGACAACTGGCACAAACACTTGGGAACAAGTGTTTGTCACGGGTTTGGCTACAGTTCAGGGTTCTAAGACACGTGAAACTTGGTTGTATATTGCTGGCCCCTGAATAAGAACCCATGACTCACAACAGCCTAAACTACTAATAAAGGCTTAGCCATGGTCACAGGTTAATGCATAATCTCTTAGCTATGCACACAGGCTGATGGAAAATCTCTTCTAATTATTGTCACAAAGATCTCTAACCTGTTACACCTCTCAGCAGCCTCCAGGGACAGGAAAAGTAGAGATCCAAACAAGCACAAGTTGTTCTTCACAAGCCCTTTTGAAGAATCGAGGGGCAGGTGAGAAGGTGTAGCCAAAGGGCAGTCTATGTCAATTATCTGAAACACCTGCTGCAAGCAGCTTAGGTAATTACCTCTGGATGGGTGCCTGGAGCAGACAACTGGGATTATAGAAGATGAAGGCTGACCCAAGCCTCCAAGCCCTAAATGAGCCTGAAAGGCTACTGATGGTTAAGAACAGGGGGTGTCTATCCAGGACCGACTTGTCAGAACATGACTGATGGTCCATTGGACCTTTTTACTATGCTCCAGGTACTTCCAGGAGTATCTCAGCTACCCATTTTTGACTCCTTTTTGCACAGAGCTAGGTCATTCCACTGCTCCACCTCTATTGCAAGACCAAACCCATTTCATTACAACCTGTTTTGAAAAGGGATGATGTTAATCCAGCCAACAGCATTAAGCATTGGTATATGAGCTAACTGCCAAGAGTCTCTGCAGTCAGTAGAAATGAAGGTGGTGGCTTAGCTGTTTAGATATGGGTGTCCAGGACTAGCAGAGACCTACCATGCATCCCTCTGGCTACCCTAAAGGACACAAGCCATGCCTGCCAGACCTGTGTCCATACACCCTATGATATCTCAGGGGGAATTGGATGGATCAATAGAGTCTGTGTAGCCCAAAGGAGGATTTGCCATGTCCAGAGAAGATCCACACATGGTCACATGAACAGACTAAGTTCTCCATCAGAACCAGAGAACACCAGTTTGGAAGGGACCTCAAGGATCATCTGGTCCAACGTTTCTAGGCAAAGCGTGATCTAAGGTAGATGTTCCAGCACCTTCTCCAGCTGAAGCTGAAGTGTCCAATGTTAGGGAATCCACCACTTCCCTGGGGAGACTGTCACTGAGTGACACAGTGATTTGTATCACTGAGAGCCTAGAGGACTGGCTGAGAGATGGACAAATGAGATGGGTTTGGGCTCACCTTGCTCCAGGTCAGTGTGACATACAGACTGACACATGAGCTATAGGTGTCCCAGGTTATCTTCCAGTCTGTGAACTCCAGTGGTACCGTTCAGTTGGCCAAAGGAATGGCTGAGAAACACTGCAGGACTCACTGGAACCCATGAGCTTCTGGAGGAAACCATCAATGGCACCAGCACAACCAGAACCAACAAACACAAATATGGATGGAGAAGAGCAATGCAGACAGCTGTGTTGACCCCAGATGGATGTTTCGTTGAGTTTAGCTTCTACAAATGGCAATATTTTAACAGCAGGGTTTATATTTGGGGAGTTTCTGTGCCAACACTTTCACCAATGATTCCTGTTTGTTCCCACTTTATTACCAGTCCTCCAGGTACAGCTCAAAACACACTCTCCTTCCTTGAAAAGGCAAATAAAAACACATATTCCCATTATTGCCAGAATAAACTCATTTTGCTTCTTACAACAGCATGACAGGGAGGAAAAACAACTTGTAGAAATCAGGTACACAGTCATCAGGTTATTAGGTATAAACCTTCAAAGTGTTTATCACTAAATTCCTCATCTTGTATCAGCTCTGTTGTGTCTGAGGATGTTTTGAGCCTATTAATTTTCCTCTTATAATGAAGGTGGTAATGGAAAGAAGGAGTTTGAAATAAAATACCCACTGAAGTTATATAGAACTGAAATCTGACCTAAGGAAGTGCCATGACCCATAGGCTGGGTGGGCCTTAGCCACCTGAAATTCAGACGTCCTGAAGTTAAATATGTCAGAATCATGATACGTGTTCTATATGCAGCTGATATCTTTATATATCTTTATTGTGTCTTTATGCACCATCATTCACTTGAGCCATTTCCCATGATGGTTTTGCCAAGGTCTTTAGTTCCTTCTAAGGAGGGAGACTGAGATCAGATGTGATGTCTACTTATTAAACTCCACTTTTGGCCAGTTAAATCCCACAACTAATGATCTTGTAGATACAGAGAACTACATGCTTAGAGGAAAAAGAGAGAATAAAAGTAGAAATAAGAGTTTGATTATAACTAATGCAACATGGCTTTACTCTACATTAAGTTTGAATATGTGTACTGAACAATCCCACTGAACAGTACATTTAGGAACCATCACTGTCCAATCCTTTACACAAACAAAATCATTTGAAGTATTTCTTCTTGCCTCCAAATATCCGGGAACAAGCTGGACATTTTAGCATGTTTCATCACAAATCAACCTTTGGTGGCTCTTCAGTGAGTACGTGTTTCTCCTATTATGAAATACACTATCAAGAGGCAAACGTATAGCAAATTAATCCCACATCGATAAAGCTGGTCTACGAAATGGACAATAATATATAGAAGTATTATCACAGCTTCTCTCCAACCTCAAAAAGACTCTAAAACACCAACCCCATTCCCATTACTGCCCAAGTGTCAAACCATTTACCACTCTGGCAGGGAAATCATCATTCTCCCCATTGTTCTCTTCAGAGCACTCTTTACCTCCTTGTTCCTCAGGCTGTAGATGAAAGGGTTCAACATTGGGGTCACCATGGTGTAAAAGACAGAAACTATTTTGTCCCTACCCAGGTTGTAGCTGGAACTGGGCCGTAGGTACATAAAGATAAGGGTCCCATAGAAGATGGTTACAACCACTAGGTGGGATGCACAGGTACCAAAAGCTTTGCCCAGTACAGAGCCTGTCTTCAGGACGGTGAAGAGGATGTGGCCATAGGAGATGAGGATGACTGCTATTGTGGTGACCTCATTGAAGCCCCCAAAAGCAAATAGCAACACTTGGCTGAGAGAAGTATCAGAGCACGCCAACTTTGAGAGTGGTGGCCCATCGCAGAAGAAGTGGTCAATGACATTGGGGCCACAGAAGGACAGCCTCAATGCAAAGCCTGTGAAGACGGCTGAATTAAAAAGCCCAACTGCATAGGACCCAGCTAAGAGGGAAACACAGACCTTCTTGGACATGAGGATGGGGTAACGCAAGGGGTTGCAGATGGCAACATAGCGGTCATATGCCATCCCAGCCAGGAGGTAGCACTCTGTGATTGCAAAAGCAGCATAGAAATAGAGCTGCAGGAAGCAGCCAACAAAAGAAATAGTCTTCCTCTCAGACAAGAGGTTCAGCAGCATTTTGGGTGTCACCACGGAGGAGTAGCACAGATCCAAGAAGGACAAGTGGCCGAGGAAGAAGTACATGGGGCTTTGAAGCTGGGAATCGAGCCAGACTGCAGCAATGATGCTAAGGTTTCCTATCATGGTGGTGACATAGATGAACAGGAAAAACACAAAGAGTGTAACCTGGAAGTCGAGGCAATCTGTGAACCCCTTGAAAACAAATTCTGTCACCGTAGTCCAGTTTTCCCAAGCCATCAGTGTCCAAGAGGCTTCCAGTTCCCAGGCAGCGGGGTGATTTGCATGACCTTGGTTATGATGGCTTAATCCCTTGCTTAATTATTAGTGGGGTTTAATCCTGTACTCTGTAGATAATGAAGACATTCTCTAATGAAACACTGCCAGGCAGGTTGGCAGGATGCTTAGATGGTCCACAACCACCTGCCCATGCAGGGAGTCACTGACTACATCTATCACTCAAGCTCTTAAACCAAGCTTTGAATATATCTTCTATCTTCACACGCTGATTTCAAAGGAAGTCTGAAGCCAGCAAAACAAGTTTTCCCTTGGCCATCACCATGGTCTTCACTATGTTTCCATCTGCCTGCAGTTTTCTCCACATTCAGGGAAGAGCAGCTCATGTTGACTGTTGTGATAATACACAAAGTAAAGGAATATTAACTTTCATGCTGCTTTTCAGGTTGAAGATGTCCCAGAAACTCTTTTCACTCTTTTCATTACCCCAGGTAGCTCAGAGTCTGAATTTGTTGCTCCTTAGTCTAAATGCTCAGAAATAAAAGCATTATGTTGGTTTTCATTAAAAACAACTGATTAATAACAAGGTTAGTGGCTACTTTGGGGGCTAAACTGCATTTCAATAGCTGCTCTCATCTCATAAGAATAAATACATAGAAGAGACAGAAGGGCATATGCATTTATCTTTCCTTCTCCAGTATCTTCCAGCTTCACTGGTGATTTGTTAAAAATGTGCTTTTCCCTTTAATTTCTATCATTCAACTTACATTTTAAGCAAACAGCAAATACTTTCAAGCAACTGATTTCATGCCAGATTAAGGTTAGGAAGTAAAACTTCCTTTTAGAAAGGATTTATAACACAACCATGTGTCTCAAACACAGACATTTGAGGGTAGTTTAAATCTAGTTCCACCACCATCCCCCAAAACAGTACCTGAGATGCCACTTCTGGCTTCCCGCTGAAGACCCAGCCTCTTTCAGGCTGAGCTATTATTGTGCCTACTTCTTATTCCTTACTCCAAGGAAATCATTCAAAGACAGAACCTGCACCTTGTCATTGCTGAGGGGAACTAGAAAGGCAACAATACAGACAAATAGAGCATATCCAATTGAAATTGTCTATGCTGATCTCTTAAATAGGATAAAATACATCCCCAAAAAGGATTGTGTCAGGAGAGGGGGTAAATACATAAGATATTAGACATTTCTTCTGTACATGTTTATATTTGTCCCAGTATAACCATTACCGATAAGCAAGGAGATGCTTGCAAAGAGAAAAAGCAATTTAAGCTTCTGTGGCAATCACTGCTACATTCCTATGGCATTGCCTCTAAGCAGATCTTCCTTGCCCATTTGCATGACTGTTGCACAGAAGCATCTCTGTCTCGATAGTATTTTTCCACCTTGTAGCTTGCTTTATAAATCAGAGCTTCAGAGAAGAAATTTTGTGATTCTATGATGCCGTGCTTCACCATTCCATGAAATCCTCCAAGTCTCCTTTCTTTCTCTGTTTAGTTCTACATGGTGTTGGCTGGCCATGTATGGCTGTGTCTCCCAGAGGCTCCTTTCTTTGCTATTTATTGCTTTCCAGCTTAGATGGTTGAGATAAGCTGCCAGCAGTCTCACTGGGCACATCACCCCATGCTAACCTTGGTTCTCCCCCCTTCAAATATAATTGGAAAGTTGCCTTAGTGACTTCACAAGTTAGACGTCTGGAGCTATTACTGCCTCAACCCATGAGATGAGCTGTCTTCTGGGAGCCAGAATACACTGAAATTGCTGTGAGGTTATTGACAAAGAGCATCTCTTAGTGATGACATCTCAGCACCTTGTAACTACAGAAACACTCAAGCTGGACAGCTTTGTGAGCTTTTAGTAAGACTGGAAACCCATTACCAAACCACAGTGTTACCCACCTACTCAAAAACATTATTCTACTATTATATTTGGAAAATGGAGGTGATATTAATGACCGGAGAATAACACTTGAGTATAAACATCAACTGATTACTCTAATTCCCTCACTGACTAGACTATCTCCAATTTTGCCCATGCAGTGATATGGTCTGGATGGAGAGGGACTGGCAGAACAGTGAGCAGTGGCTGGGTTGTTGGGTGCAGAGGGTAATAGGTTCTACTCTGCAGGAGCCTGGAGAGTATCACAGGGGTTTATCTCTCTAATCTATCTAAACTGAATCGAAGGAGAACACCATGGTGTGCAGTGACCATCCCACAGTACCTGAGCAGGAGAAGCAGAGCAGCAACAGAGACCAAGGCCAAGATTCCGGCGCATCAAGAAAGTTGGGGATTATGAGGCCGGTCCAAAACCAAGCCAACACGGCTAAAGACAATCCCCTGGTCAGGTTTAGGTCCAGCAATTGCTAGGGAAGTCCACAAGCAACCTCAGATATCATCAACGGATTCCATAGATGTGCACAACTCCTGCTAAAATGGAAACCAGAACAACTCAAACATAGTCCAGACACCTTAGGCTGAGCTTAAATAGAGATGGTGAGCAAATGGGCAGAGGGTGAGGATGGAGCCCCAGCTGAGGCTGCTCAGGGGGATAAAGGCCTATTAGTTCATACTGGGACAATTCATCACTGCCTCAAAATGCCCCTTTCTCACCCTTACATACAGTGGAAGCCCTAAAGCACAAGCTCAAGTGTTGGACATTGAGGCATTACATGTGGATAACCCCACTGGGACTGGAAAACTGAGCACACAAGTGTTCACAGAGGGGGAGCAGCAGCTCCATAGAAGGAGTCACTTGTGCTTCATGTCCCATTTGGGGACCCTCTGCAAGATCTGAAATGTCTCTAAACCCATTCTCATTCTGTTGGCAAGGTCAAACTGAAAACATTTGCCTGGTCCACAAGTATGTCAGAAATATCCTATGAGCTGCTCATCACTGGTGCTGCTGTGTAGCTGTGCTCAGGAATGGCTCATCCACACCATGTCTCTCAGATGCCCAAGCACCACAATGCCTTTCAGAGGTGATTTCACACCCTTTGCTTTTCCTTCTCTTTGTTTTCCTCTGGGTAAGCATGAGCAGCCCTGGAGGCTTCCTCCCAGGAGAGCACATGCAACTGTATTTACAGCCCCAGCACCACAAGCTGGGCTCTTGGAGTCTGGCAGAGCTCACCTCTCCTCACATCAGGTGCTTAACAGAGGTGATGCCAACATGTAGATGTTCTCTGCTGTGCTGGGGATTAACCTGTGGCTCCTATCACTCGGTGGCAGAAGGAAGGTACAGGAAGTAGCACCAACACAAAGCAGAGCCCCACCTACATTGAAGCAGAGGTATTTTGTCTTCATGTCCTCGTTTCCTCTTTGGGAAAGCTGCATCAGAATTAGCCTTACCAACGTGGGTTTTCTTTATAAGAAGAGGGAGCAATGGTTAATGCAGGTTGTGTTTCTTTTACATAGGCAGCTAAAGCAAGATGCACTGATTTATTCAAGAGTTAAATGAGGATGAGTGTTATTTTGTTATAAAGAAATGCAACATTGGAGATTGTCAGCAGGATATAGTCACTAATATAGTCACTAACAAATCAGCACATTGTAACATCAACTGCTTTTTAATGCAAGCGTCTTAATGCTCATAGGTTTAGGATGATTCAGTTTGCTGGAGCTCAGAAAGGTATAAATCATGTGAGTTTTATCGGCTATGAATAAACTCAAATAGTTTGATAAATGTGATTTGGTGACTGGAATGATAACTAAAAGCCAAGGGAAAATGTGTGCAGTTCATTCACGTGTAAGCTGGGATTTCACTGGGACTGGGACGTTCTAGCCCCCTGGTTTACATGAGCTACTATGTGGTTTTCAGGTGTCTTCTGACCAAATTAACTCTGAAAAGTGAAAGTGAAGAAAGATCTGATTCTTTTCCTTAATCTGAAAACACATGTGCTTGAATAAATCCATAGTTTTAAGAGTCCTAGCATACAAAATACCATTTGTTCCTTGAATGTGGTCCCTGTTCTTTTCAAGATACCTCAACTGTATAACATAAAATATATATATAATTTGGGTTAGAAAATTTAGTATAATATAAAGTAAAGTAGCAGATAAACTGGTCATTGTTTGGATTAAAATATGGTCCAAAAATGCCTAAATAAATCCATTGTTTTAAGTGTTCCAGCATAGAAAACCAAAAATGTCATTTGTTGCGTCAGTGTGCTTCCTGTTCTTTTATAAATACACTAAGTAAAAACCAAAAAAACATATGATTTGGGGTTAACAATATAGCACAATATATGAATTCAACCAAAATATGGCACTTAAAATCGTGATTGATTATAGTCAAATATGGTCCAAAAATGAATCTCCACTTCTAAAAGCTGTTATGTTTCTCTTCCTTTTGCCTCAGCAGGTAACACCAGGGCATGGAAGGAAATCAAACCCAGATAGAATTCATCCTGTTAGGAATTACAGACAGCCCTCTTGCGCAGACCCCTCTGTTCATGTTGTTTCTGTTGATATATATTGTCACTTTGGTGGGGAACTTTGGCATTATCACATTGGTTTGGGTGTCTCCCAGCCTCCACACCCCCATGTACTTCTTCCTCACCCATTTTGCCTTCACTGACATCTGCTATTCCACAGTCATCTCCCCCAGGATGCTGGCAGACCTGTTAGCAGAGGACAAAACCATCTCTTTCACTGGCTGCATGATGCAGTTCCTCATGTTCTCTTTCTTTGCTATTAGTGAGTGTCACCTGCTGGCCGTGATGGCCTACGACCGACACGTTGCCATCTGCCAGCCCCTGCTTTATGTGACCATCATCTCCAGCCGTGTCTGCTGGCAGCTGGTAGCATCATCCTACCTATTCGCCTTCCTCAGTGCCATCGTCTACACATGGTGTGTGTTTGGAGGTTCCTTCTGTGGTCCCAACCGCATTGACCACTTCTTCTGCGATGTTGTCCCTGTTCTAAAGCTCGTGTGCTCCGACACCTACAGCAGCGAGATGCTCATCTTTGCCTTTGTCACCATCAATGTG